CTTGCTACATTGTCCTTGAAAAATCTCAACGAACACTAGATGCAGCTACATAGGGCTTTTAGACGTAGAATTGACTGATAAATGAGCATCAGTAATTGTAACAAGTCTCTCTTACCCCTCTATCTCTATCTCTATGACTGATATATGAGCATCAGTGATAGTAACAAGTAAAAAGTCTCTATTACCTCTATCTCTACCTGTCTCTATTGATATGTCAATTTGTTGTGATATGGAAAACTCTTGGACCTCTTTAAATTCTGAGAGATAAGATTTGGAAAGAGAAGAAGAGTGGTTGAAATCAATAATAAACCTGAAACATCTGGTTTTCTTCTGTTTGGTTAGTGCAAACATGTGAAAGAAAACCTCAGTTGTACCTTTTGAGAGACCCATGGAGAGAGAGAAGAGTGGTTGGTTTTTTCCATAATTCCTTCAAAAATTCAAATTAAATTTCTTTAAATTTTTTTTGGGGAATTTTGATTTGAAAGAAGAGGTTTTAGAGACCAGACAAAGAGTGGTTCAAGTACTTGTCTTGTTTTTATCCTTGAAGATGAAAGAAATCTGGTGGACATATATGTGTAAAACACTCCTATGACTTAATTTACTGTCTCATGTCTTGTCAAAGACAATAAATATTTTTTTAGCTTATAAGCACCAACTGTGAATACCCCATTGGACATTTATCAGAGCTTCAGACATATATGCATATACATTCTGACATATATTTATGTATTTGAATTATTGTAATGGTTTTACTGTGATAAGAAGATTTTAGGGTCAGTCATTAAGAATTGGTAGTTTTGCCAGCAGCATCAAGTCCCACCATTACCAATTTAACATTACAATGTCTTTTTAATAATCTTTTCTTCTTAAGATTCGATATTAGCTGATAAAAAAGTTTGATATTTGTTTTGAGTGAAAAGCATAAATGTCAGTCATGAAATTAAATTGGAGAAACCAATAACAAAATGGACAATTACAAAAATACCACATTTTGTGTGCACATTTGTAAGAATGCCATTTAGGATGTCTATTTACAAAAATGCCATTAATTATAGATTTATAAAACCTATATCTTAAAATTTCAAACCCTAAAAAATGTTTTGACACCTAAAACTCCCTAAACACTCAAAACTAAACCC